CACAGTACTTTTGAGGAGTGCTTGAAAGGGTCCCGTTACTAGTTTAAGAAGTCAGTAATCCCAGCACCCTGTGAGGCTGAGGCAGGAGGATCCCAAACTCAAGCCTAGTCTAGGCAACTTAGTAAGATACTGTGTCAAAAAACAGAAGAGTTGGGGATGCAGGTCAGTGTGAAGGTCCTGGGTTCAACCTCCAATACTGAAGACAAGAGTCTCAATTAGGGAAAACCTGGCCATCTCATAAAATATCTTTTTTAGACTAAAAATCATTAAAAATTACCTGAGTGTCAATGTATTTTAAACATTATCATAGTAATGCTATGAATGAGCTGTTATATTTTAGTGAATCTACAATTGTAGTACAGAAGGAAAGTTTATGCCAATTAATGAAGAAAGGGCAAAAAATTGCAGAGTAACACCTTAGGCTAAAATAGTGTTTTATTTTGGAGTTTAATTTCTCTTGTAAGTAGCACTCAGAAAATATCAACTTGGAAATTAACTATGCAGAAAAGTGAGGGAAAAATAATCTAGTTTACTGAATGTACATCTTCCTACATGGCACCAATTCCAGTCTCCTATCCGAAACTATTTCGACTTCTTCATTTGCCATGTTTCTATCTTTTTCTGACAAACAGAAAACTATCCAACTTCATACTTACTTGAGTTTTTGCTTCCACACACAAACCAGTTTCTCTCACATGCTTGCAGGGGATTCTAGTTTGTGCAGGAGAAGGGGAGAGTGTTGGCCCAACTGCCACCTTTGTGGAAGATGGGAGATTTAGCAAAATCCTATTACTTTTCTGCACCAATCAGACTTCTAAAATAATCCTTTATTATAAAATATTTTTAACGTTATCAGGCTAGTACTATGAAACCCTACATATCTATCCAATTGTTTCAATAACTGCTAACATTCTTCTGTATCTCAAACATTTTCCCACCCTTTCCCCAAGTTTTTCTCTCCATTAATGTATGTATGAACATATGTTGATGCTAAGCCATTTAAAAATGAGTTGGAGATTTTACACTTCACTTTTAAATATTTTTAAGATCAACAAAACACCCTCTTGTTCCTCTGGCTCCCTACGAGTCAACAATTCATAGCTGAACCATAGTGGTACAGAGTTCACGATCTTACACAGCACACTTACAGCCAAGTCTCACCTAGACCCAAACAAAACCAACTGTGCTTCTGGTTTCTATGAAACACCTCATTTGTGAAAATGCTGAAGCTCCCAGGTCTGACCGCATACTGAGAAGCTAACAGCGCAGAAGGACTGGCACCTCGAACGACCGAACTTCCCTTCCTCGGCTGTCATCTCCCTTTCCCTCCTCGGGGGAAACACCAGAGTAAGGAACAGTGAATTTACGTCTCATAAGCTTGAGCGGCCAACTTTTACTTCACATAAATAAAGCTGAACTTTGGTTTCCTGTCCACTGGGAGGAGCTTCTGGCAATTTATTATAAAGAACCATTTATGCCAGGAAACCTGTTGAGCAGGAAACCCTCAAATGGAAACTCAGAAGAAAATTTAATGAAAGTCTTCAAAAAAGGGAAAGTTGTTTGCATTGTTCTATTTTAATAGCTCTTGTTGTATTATAAAGAGTAAAGAACTTGTGGTCTTGGAAAAACTTTGAACTAAGGCAAAATATAATGTGCTTTTTCATCATAAAATAGCCTACTCTCAACTGGATAGACTTAGCCAACATAACAATTTGTAATCTTAAAGGGAATTGAAGATTTTCAATGCCTAAATTTGGTTAGCATTGAGTTAAGAAGGATAAAAGGGTCTCAGTTCTCCCAGGACTAAACAGATCAGGAAAAGAACTACTGCAAAGGTATTTAGGATTATTACAAAACATGGGCATCCTGAGTAGCACTTCATAAATAAACTACATATAATTGTTGCATGGAACTGTAACTTAATCTGCTTTTTTTTCCTATGCCTTTGGTCCCTGCAGTGAAAACTAACAAAGACAGCACAATCTGAGGCAGATAAACTATTCTTCAAATTAAAGTCCCAGGCTGGCCAAATAGCTCAGTGGATTAAAGCGCCTGCAAGCAGATGTACGGGCCAGGGGTTCGATCTCCAGGACCTGACCCGCCAGCCCTGCCCCAGGGTTGCACTGAGATGGCAATTGAGACTCGGCATGGTGGTGCACACCTGTAATCCCAGCTCTTGGAAGGCTGTAAACAGGCGGATCACTATGAGTCTGATTTAGTAGTGAGACCCTGAACACCCTGTAGACCTTCCCTAAAATACAAAAACAAAAAACAGTCCCATGATGAAAAGGAAGTTACCTTTTTGAAGTTTTTCTATATACATTTTGCTTTAAATAACACTTGAGGCTCAGATGATTTCTTTTGCAGAATACTATAAAGACCAATGGATAGGACTGTATCTACTATGAATCCACTTGGAAGTAGGTGAGCTACTTCTTTCAACTGGAAGACATTTAATACATACATGGTGATTAACTTTAGAAGGAACTTGACCAGAAGCACTGGTTAAATTATGTAGTTGAAATGACAGGATTTCGGGGGGGGGGGGGCACATGTGTTTAGTTGAAAACACTCATCTGGTATTGCATTTGAAGATGGTGTGTAGGCTAAGTCAGCTTAATATATTTTGGAGCTTTGGTTTCTTCATCTGAGAAAGGGTGTCAGCTAACCCTGCAGGAGCCTTCTAGCGTCACACTCTAGGATTCCATCATCTGTGTTTGGGACATGGAAAAAACGCTTCTTGAAGTTGAGCTCTCAGCACAATGGCTTTGGCAGCCCAGGTCCTTCTTGTGCCCTGGGATGGAGAGTTCACTTCAGAGACTGATTCTTCAGTGATTTTTTTTTTTTTCCGGAACCAGGGATTGAACTCTGATCCTTGCATTTGCCAGTCAAGCGCTTATCCTACTGAGCCATCTCCCCAGCCCCTCTTCAGTGTATTTTTAAAAATAATTTCTATCTTAATGAGAGAAAACAACTGTTTCCACCCATCTCCTACTGTCACACTCACATCTGAAAACTCCGATTGTTCAGCTTTTATCTATCTTCCTGACAGTTTTCCCTTTCCATCTAAAACATTTATGAAGTGATGTCCTGCTGAGTCCTTATTTTTTTGGCATAGTAGCTTTAAAAACATGCCAAATTGGCTGTGTGTGCTCTGGGAGGTGGGCACAGGCACATTCTTCTTGAAAGCAAACACACAGGCTTAGAAATGTGCAGGCATTGCTTTGAGGGCCCATCTTCCCCTCTGGGAGTAAGCCTTAAGGAAATAACCAAGTGAGAGTGTAAAAATGAATGAGTGCCTGTTAAAGGGTATCTGAACCTGAGTTTATAATACAAAACACAAGTAATGAGAGTCAATGCAGCACAGTGAGCTCCACAGACAGCGCCAGGGCAAGTGAGAGCCGGATGGGCACTGGGAGACTCTATCTCGCTGAGGAAAACAAGGAAACATGGGCAAAGGAGAGCCTAAGAAGCCAAGAGGCAAGATGTCATCATATGCACTCTTTGTGCAAACTTGCTGAGAGGAGCACAAGAAGAAGCACCCAGATGCTTCCAATAACTTCTCAGAGTTTTCTAAGAAGTGCTCAGAGAGGTGGAAGGCCATGTCTGCTAAAGAAAAAGGAAAATTTGAAGACATGGCAAAAGTGGACAAGGCTCGTTATGAAAGAGAAAAAAAAATTATATTCCTCCTAAAGGAGAAACAAAACAGAAGTTCAAGGATCCCAGTGCACTCAAGAGGATCTCCTTTGGCCTTCTTCTAGTTCTGTTCTGAGTATCACCCAAAAATCAAAGGAGAACATCCTGGCCTCTCCATTGGTGATGTTGCAAAGAAACTTGGAGAAATGTGGAATAATACTGCAGCAGATGACAAGCAGCCATATGAGAAGGTGGCTGCTAAGCAGAAGGAAAAGTATGAAAAGGACATCGCTGCCTACTGGGAAAGGAAAACCTGATACAGCAAAAAAGGGAGTCATCAAGGCTGAAAAAAGCAAGAAAAAGAAGGAAAAGGAGGAGGATGAGGAAGAGGAGGAAGAAGGGGAAGAGGATGAGGATGAAGAAGATGATAAGTTGGTTCTAGTGCAGATTTTTTTTTCTTGTCTATAAAGCATTTAACCGCCCATACACAACTCACTCCTTTTGAAGAAAAAAACCCTGAAATGTAAGGCTAAGATTTTTTAAAAACTGTACAGTGTCTTTTTTTTTTTTTTTTGTATAGTTAACATAATACCGAACGTGTCTTTAGATAGCCCTGTCCTAGTGGTATTTTCAATAGCCACTAATCTTGCCTGGTACAGTATGGGAGGTGTACATTGCCATGGAAATTCAAACAGGTTCTTGTTGGTGCACAGCACAAATTAGTTATATATAGGGACAGAAGTTTTTCATTTTCAGGTGTCTCTGATGCAGCTTAAATGAAATTAATTGTTCCATTAACTGAATACCATTCTAATTGCAAAAAAAAGTTATTAACTTTTGTTGACATTCTGAATGCTTCTAAGTAAACACAATTTTTTTTTTTTTTTTTTTGGTAGAACTGGGGAAAGTGCTTATTCTACTGAGCTATCTCCCTGGCCCCTGTAAATACAATTTTAAAAACAACACAAGTAATTAAAAGATGTAACCAGTGTATCAGGTACTCGGTCACTTGGGAAGCTAGTCATTATGTTCCATTTTGTAGGATTTTTATTTTTGTCCTACAGTGAACATGAACTACTTTTCCTAACAAAGCTAACTGACCTCACTGCTTAATATGTTGCTTATTTCTTTTGCACACGTACCCACAACTCAGAATCACTGGTACTTTCATCATTAATCCATGAAACTAGCTTATTCACTGGCATAATTGTTGCTGAAACGTACTAAGACCAGACCTGTTCCATTCCCAGAAGAGATTCAGATGGAGGAAAAATAACTTACTAAGCATAACAGCTGTATGTAACAGAAGCACCATTTTTATTTTTTTTCCCTTGATTTTTTTCACAGGAAAAAATCATATGTCCTCAGAATTTCCAAATAGTTACTTATTATTTAAAACTATGAGGGCCAGAGAAACAAGGTACTGCAGCAAACACTTTTAATAAGAATACAAAATTCACACTAGAGGCACATTTGGGGGAATGTAAATGAACTATCACAAGTAGTTATTCTGCTGGAAGAATAAAATAAGGCTTCGTTAGAGTACAAATGTACAGAGGGAATGATTTAAAATAAGTTTATGATTTACAGTCACATTACATTGTATTAAGCACTCAAAATAGGCGTCTGATTAAAAGCCAGCTAAAAGGCATTTGAACGTATGTAACAAATCTTACAATTCACAAAGTTTATGTATAACAGTAATTATAAGTACTTCATTTCAACACAATAGAAATGAACAGGGAAAGAGATATCTCTGAAAATATTAATTCATGTCTGTGATAAAAATCAAAGGAACTTTACTTGTAAAGAGGATCTGTTACAGAGGAGCCACATGGCAGACAGGCTGCCACATAACACAGAACAAGTTCTGCATAGCAAAACAGGACCTGCCTTTCCAGTCACCTTCCTGTTGCCACCGTACCTTTTTAGGTCATCTTTCCATTACTCAAATGAAAAAATCCTGTCTTCTCCTCTTCAAAAGGAATTGAGAAACCAAACAACAAACTTAAGGTTGATTTCACAACCCTCAAATATAGCTTCATGGGAACAAAGAAACCCACCATTTATACACAGTTTCCCATAACACGGGACACATGTCAGGCATTATCAGAAAGGGGTGTCTTCATGGACTATGTACACTGGTTGAGTAAGAATTACTATATTTGAGAAGGCACGTATCTGTGATTTAAGGCTTAAACGGTATTATTTCATATGGAGGTCAAGGAAAGCTCTCTAGAAATTCACTTCTATCAAAATGGAATTTATCCAAAATCTAGCTTCTAAGTATAGATTTCTACTCTAGAAACCATCAAGATTTCCATTCCTTAGTCCACTTGTTTAAAAATAAATTTTTAAAAGGTTTCATTATAAATTCAAAGAAAAAAAATTGCTAATGTTACTGTTCTGTGACTTGGATTATACAAACTCACAAGCCTAAAAACCTCTCAGAAATGATGGTGTAATTTCTGTGTCTAAAAAACCTACAAAAAAATCACCATGGTACAGATTCACTTTTGAAAAGGTATCTGCCACAAGCCCACGGACCAATCAATGATGCATTAGCACGGCCACCTCTGAGGGTGCGGCCGGGCCCACACAACTCACTCTGCAAAATAGTTTCTTTTCTTTTTTTAAGCAATATAAGAAAATGACTCTCATAAAGATGTTGAATATATTCATATATAAAATATCTGATGTTGATACAAATCACATAAACCTCCCTTTGGAAAAGTTACAACTGGCCCTCATTCCTAGGACCAAAACCTTAAATTTTTATTTTGTCAGTGCAAATCAATATTAGATATTTTCAAACTACAGAAGTAGCCATCAACCCTCACAATACAAAAGGATTTCTCAAAGAGGAAAATCACCATGTTCAAATTATAGAAATAATGTTTACATTTAAGCCACCCACCTTCCTATCAAATCGAAGTCAACTGTAAAGGTATGAAAAAGGGAAAACTTAAAGCTGCTATGCAGGATCCCCACAACGGTCCTCACCCCTCACCGCGTGCCCCGCTCCGTTTAACTCGTTAGGTGTATTTAGAAATATAACAATACAGCCTTCTTTTCTTTCCAGGTGAGACTCTACTGTTCTTCAAGCCAAGACGGGGCATCCACTCCTGGGGTTTTCAACTTGATGTGGAACTGTTTAAGGGTCTGCTCAAGCTGCTTCTGATTCCCGGCAAAGTAGGAGGCAATGGCGTTGTGGAAAAGGACCAGCTGATTGTGCAACACTTTCACCTGTGGACAGGCAGGGCGACAAGGGCGAGCGGTTAGGACCAATGACAGCGACCACAATGAAGGAGGAGATGTTCTACCTCCTTTCATTAAACAGAGAAAGCTGTTGTATTGTCCACACGCACATCAAGGGTATGCTGCTTAGCAGGGCTGCTGAACCTGTGATGATGTTCTAATTACTGGGAAGGGAGAGGCCATTAAAGATGCTAAATGTATGTTTTGGTTAAAAATTTCTTTTTTCAGTGCTGGGAGCTGAACCCCACCCCAGCCTTCCACATGAGTACAGGTAGGCACTCCCCTAGGGTAATCTCAACCCTCAGAAACCATTTTCAAATTAAAAATATTAAATGCCCTCTCAAACTAAATATATTAAGACCATTAAAATACTAAAAATGGAAACTTATAATTACTTCACAATATACGCTAGATACCAGGCATGGCCACCTTTCAGGCTATGCTTACATAAAATATGTTCTGGACACTTTTAAATACGCACACAGTTGTAAAGAATCAAGCAGCAGCAACAGGTATTACACCCAGAAAGTCAGTTTACAAAGTTCACATGACTCTCAGTTATTTTCAGTAAGTAACACCACCTCTCTTTCTTAATGAAATAAGCAAAGCACCCCAAATTCATGAATTCAGTTGTTTTCAGACTGTTTATAACTGCATATGCTTGATAAAGTATAAAATATATTATGACTTATCGATCAATGCAGTATTCATTAAAATTGAGCTAGAACAATTTTAATGATACAAAAGTATCTAAACTGTGATGCTAAGTAAAAATCAGTATATAAGTTTCATATGTACCCATTCTTTTTCTCTTCATGTCCCCAAATTATCCAACTGTGCTGGTCTCAGCTCCTCCCTGCCATGACTGATCTCCTTGTAGGGAAACAGGCAGTCGGGCTGGTCATGAGGAGGCCACCACCACAGGAATGCGCCCTGGCGGGAAAGCCCCTGGGTGAACGCCACAGGAGAGAACTGCTTAATAAACAAGGATGCAAATTACATCAAAACTTAAGGGTAAGATGGCATGTTGCCACTGTTACTGATCAAGTACAGGTCTCCAGAACAAACTCCTGCCAACCCCAAACCTACCCCATTAAGAGATAACACGGATGATAAGCTCACAAAGGAGGCAGGAATGGCCAATTGCACCCAAAAAAACACCTAGGCTCATTAGGGAGCAGGAAAATGGGAGTTAAGCCTAACACGGGATACTACTGTATACCTGCCACGGAAGGAAAACTTAACATGGACAAGTTCCTGTACAGGGCTGGGCTCGTGGCCCAGGGACACAGCTCCTGTCTCTGCATGTGCTAGCCCAGCTTGGTTTAGTCACCAGCACCACTCAAAAAACAGATAACCAACATATCTGCTATTGGTGGGCCACAAATATGTATAACTACTGTAGAAAACAATCTGTCATTATCTGTAAACGTGTCATAGTTTGGGGCTTTGCAAGGGGAAGAATACAATACAGGACACATTTTATAAGATTATTTCATAATGAGTCACCCAAAGAATCATATATGAAAAGTTAAGAAATCTACACACCAAAGGCCTAGGAATCCAGCTGAGGGCTTGGATCCCACAATAATGTCCTTCGAAAGTCGAGGGGAAGATTCAGAGCCCACAACAGTGCCTCCTGTGAGTCCAATTGGGGAGGCCTAGAGCCCACAGCAACATCTCATGCAGGCCTGTCCCACGGATCTGCTCTGGGAAGGCCCAAAGCTAGAAAGTCTATGCAGTAGGATGACAGTCTGTGTAGCAGGCTGAGGGATCTGCGCTGGAACAGGAAGCAATGTTTAAGGTAAGAATCAGAACTCGCCTGAAAACTACCACAGCCATCCTCAGCAACAGTGAAGTCCCAAGCTCCCAGCCGCGAGGAAAGCCAATGCAACAGGCTTCTCGAGGACACCAAGCAGTCATCATCTGCCCCTCTCAAGCCAGGAAGCAATGCTTAAAGTGAGGACCAGGGCTACCCTAAAGCGAACCTCTGCCATTCTCAGCAGCAATGAGGTCCTGAGCTCCTCCTCCAACAAGAACAGCCAAGTTCACCAGGAAAGCAAGCACAGCAAGGTCCCCCAGCCGAACAGCCGGAGAGAACCAGCAGCTTCCAACAGCTTCTCCGGTTCTGCCTCTTGGGCTGCCGGCAGCTCTCCTCAGATGGGCCTCCCCCACCGAGCACCACGCTAGCTGAGTTTAGCTGACCTAGCTAAACAAGCTGATCACCAGCTGGCAACCCACCACAAAATAAAAGTCATCTAGGCCTGAAATTTCTTTTCTTTTTTCTTTTTAGGGAAGGGTCTACAGGGTATTCAGGGTCTCACTACTAGATTGGACTCACAGTGATCCGCCTGTTTACAGTCTCCCAAGAGCTGGGATTATAGGCCCATACCACCACGCTTAGTGTCTAGGCCTGAAATTTCATTCCTGAGAATCCGCCGTAGAGGAAAACCTGACCACATGATCCATGGCACATGTACAATTATGCTCACAGCAGCACTGTTTTCAGCACCAATAACGCCAGAAAGAGAGACCCAAGAAAACCACAACAAATTTGTCCTCACAGGAAAGTGAGTAAGTGAATTGTGGCTTCTACACAATGCCACATTGCAAATCCCAGCTGCACGCATCTACACAGATGAATCTCAGGGCCACTGGGCAGGGTCAAGCAAAGCAAGTGACAGGGAATACTCTGAGTAGGATTCCATTTAGAGAAAGTTCAGAAACATACAGCTGAATGAGATAGGTCTATGTGACAGAACTACAAAGAAAACCAACAGGAAGAAGCAACAGCAATTAGGATGCACGATCCAGGCATGGTGCGGCACACCTGTATCCCAGCTCTTAGGATTCAAGGCCAGCCTGAACTGCATAGAGAGGCCCTGCCTTGGACAGACAGACAGACAGACAGACAGACAGACAGACAGACAGACAGACAGAGAAATGCTTTGTGTATCCGTCCATTCAGGGAATACAGTTTCCCAAGGGTGTGTTACATGTCAGGCAGGGCACTAGGGCTGGGAATGTAAGTAACTAACAAAAGATCAAGATCTCCTACTCTACCCAGGGAGGAAATAGGAGCAGAGAAAGGCAGGGACGGGAGGACAGGATCTCTGTATGCACCAACACCCCCCATGAACACATTCAGTATGTACTGCAAACACATATTACAAAATTTTTAAATTAAGAAAAAGAGGCAGGGGGCCAGGAATACAGCTCAGTGGCATAAGCACCTGTGTGGCAAGTGCAAGGTCCTGAGTTTGATCTCTGGTACTGGGAAAAAAAAAAAAAAAAAAAAAAAAGCAGAAAGTGTACAATATGTTGGACAGTGATACACCTTACAAGAAAAATAAAGCAGCGACGGGGCCTGCATGGATGAGCGTGTGCACTCTAAAGGCCTGGCAGCGGAGGCCTGGCTCCTGAGGGGTGGCGGAGCCAGCCATGAACGCTGGAGCAGGAACATTCCAGGCCGAGGGTGGGGAGAACACAGGCGCTGAGGCAGGCAAGGCGGCGTCAAGCCCGCGCCCAGCAGGAGCCATGCCTGGCAAGGGGCGAGCCTGCCAGGGCAGGACTGAGCCATCACAAGGGCTGGATCCATTTCTGAGGGACGTCCCTCAAAAGCCACTGGCAGGGTCTGAGCAGAAAAATGACTCTCTGAGTTTATTTAGTAGCTACATGAGGCTGGAAGTACAGTGGCTGTGCAAAAGCTACTGTAATGGCCCAGGAGCGGAGGGACTCCCGTGGTACAGGTGAAGGGTGAGGGGTACTTCTGAGCATGAGGGGACAGTGGCCCAGCAGAGCGGTCAGGTGAAGCGGAAGAGCACAGCCACACAATGCCGAGGCTCCTGCCTAAGCCCCTGTCAGAATGGAGCTGCGATAGCACGACACTGGGAGGGCTGTCAGGGGTTGTCACAGAAGAGAAGACAAGGTAGGTATCAAGAGCTCAGCTTGGGAGCAGCTCAGACACCATTGTTAACAGCAGTCTGCACCAGAGTTGTCATTTGGGGGTTATCAACACATAGACAACACTTAAAGCCACATGACTGGATTAGCTAATCAGAGATGGGCAGACAGAAAAGTCATCCAAAGATTAAGCTATGAAAAATGAACCCTGAACCTTATACCTCAAAATACCTAAAATTCAGTCCAAAATGCATCTTAGGCCTAAAGGTCAGGGCTACACTTATAAAATTCATGAAAGAATGTAAAAGTAAATCTTAGTCACTTGGAGTTGGCAAAGAGTTATAATCAGGGCTGGTGACTCACACCCTCAATCCTAGTGCTCTGGGAAGCTGAAGCAGGAGCATCCCAAGTTTGAGACCAGCCTAGCTCATTTAGCAACTCAGCAAGACCCCGTTCCCAGAATAAAAAATGGGCAGGGATGTAGCTCAGGGCGAAGGCTCTGGGTTCAATTCTGAGTCACAAAGAAAGAAACAAAGCACAAGGCATGAATTAGAAAAGAAAAATATCAATGCTTTGGGCTCTGCAAGGGCCTTATAAAAATGAAAAGCCATCTGCAAACTATGTATCGAAGAACATGATTATAGGATATATATGAAGCGCAATTCTCATATACATTTGGAGAGAATATAAAAGTGTTTAGCATTCTCAGAAAAGCTCATCAAGGTCCTTAAGAAGTTGAACATATTCCTCTGTATAACCCAGCTACCATACTCCTAGGCATTTGCCCGAGGGACTGAAAGTCCCTGACCATAGAAGGACCTGTGCATGCATCTTTAGTTTCACTTGTAATAGCTTAAGACTGGAAACAACTCACATCAAATGCCAATGCACAGTGATTAGATAAACGAGCAGGGATATTCCTGTAGAATGGCTGTGACTCAGCCACAAACCACGGATTAAGTGGCAGGCACAACATGGAGGAGCCATGAAAACACCACGTTCACTGAAGGAAAATATGAAAAAAAAAAGTGAACTGTTTGATTCCATTTATGCAAAACTGAGAAGATGTAAGCTTCTCCCTCTTT